GCTTGCTGACCTTCCAGGATAGCATTCCTGACCTTCAACCGACGAATTTCCTCAGCTGCACTGTTCTGAGCATTAATAAGCTGTGAGACGGTTGATGTACTTCCTACTCCCCTATTCTTTTCTATGCACTCGCATTCTTCCAACGTTGTCTGTGAGAAAGTTTGCTCTTTAGTCCCCACCTTGCTTGTCCCAGTGGGACCTCAAATAATTTAAACACTCGCATAAGCAAGAACCCTTAGGGAAGGCCATGAATACCATCTTTGAAGGTGGCGACCTTTTGCATGTGTTCAATCATAATAGCAGGCAGGCTCACAAGAGTAAAGCTATCCAGTTGCTCCATCAAGAACAGGTTAGACTTAGAAGTCACTGACCTCTTCTCAGCTCGAGGCAATAGAACTTTGTTTACCAATTCGAACAGCAGCTTATAGACAAGGAGTAGCGCTTTCTTATGGATCTGGTCCCCCTTCTGGTTTGCATTGTCTTTTACCACGGCATTTCTGAAGTTAAACTGACACACATCCTTTACACTGGACACATTAACTGTAGGAACTTTGAGAATCTCACCAAGCAACTTTACATCGAACACGATATCCACTCCATTCACCAAAGAACATATATGGTCTGTCTCAACGGGAAAAAGGCTAGCAAAAAAGCTTTGTACCTCATCCTCATATGCCTTAGGTGCATCTATTTGGAATAAATGTGCCCATCGTTGAAACTCGACCATTTCAAGAATTTGTCGCATACTAGCCATCTCAGAGATTGCTGGGTCAAAAGTACGACCCAACAGAACTTTTTGGTACCTCGGGCGTTCTGAGCCAAGGCTGACTTCACTTCTTATTCTCTTCACAGAACCAGGTTCTTGAACAATTTCAGACTTTCGTTTGCCATATTTCCCACCACGGAATTTCTCTTTTCCCTTGGATTTGACTAACACATCCTCATCAGACATCGAGAACTCACTCACAACATCCTTAGGTTGAAGCCTTCTCTACTGAAGTAGGCTGCTTCTTTTTCTGAGACCGTCTAACCAGTGAACCAGGTTCATCTGGTGTTTCCTCTTCCACCTTTACCACAAGGATCACCTTATCACTTACGGGTACACCATCTTTCACCAGCTTCCTCCTTTGCTTCTTACTACCCTTTTTGCTCTTTTGAAGGGTAGAGTCGTAGGCCACCTTAGCTTGCAACCTGGTAGTGGGTCACTTGGTGGAAAACTCAGGGGTGGATACCACCCTTTGCTTTACTTTGAATGCATCAAGAACTAGGTTGTCTAAGTCCTCCTTATCACTGGACCTCATCTTAGGTGCCTGTATTTCTAAGGGCACAACATCAAATGTAGGATCAGAACTGTCCTGGGAATGAGAACCCTAACTTGGGTCCTCCGGAGAGGGGTTAGGTTCCTCATGTAAGGGCCTAATAGTATCTGCTAGTGCAACGCCTTTAACAGTTACAATGACCTCTTCGTCCCCCATACCTTGTACCTCATTTTTTGGGAGATGATCTCATGTATTACACCATCATCAGACACCACAAAGACGGTTACAACATTTTCTTCCTCAATCGACACTGCTGCCACCACAGAATCGGTAGAAACAATGGCTGAACCCTCTGTGACCTCAGGGTTTTGACCTTGTTTACCACTTGGTCTTTGATTAGTGGGAACCTCAGAAGGTGGAGAGGACAGATCAACAATTTTAGGGGTTTCTGAAATAGAGAGAGAAGGAGAATCTGGGTGAGGTGTGATTTTAGCGGGAAGGGTAAGAGTGGTTAAAGAGGGCTCACTAGGGGTGAAGGACTCCATAAGTCTTTCAGTAACAGGTATGGCTGAGGCAACGAGGACGGAGTTTGTATCAACCATTGGAAAAATGGAGCGAAGGTGCTTTGGGAAGTTCGAATAGAAGACTTATGGTTTGTGGAGAACAAAAAGAGGGATTTTATTAAGAATGGATAATTATGAAGAGAGAGAGATAGGCACCGATTCTGAAATGGTGGTTGGGCATGGAGAAGTGCAATGTTTCAGAAGGAGATGAAATGATTTGAAGTGAAAAGACATGATAGTAGGATCTAAAAAGTTGGATGACATGGTAGTTGTGTTTTGTACCTTTTTAAGACGTGTATTAAAGAATGCACAGAACTACTAACCTTTGGTACAAGAACCAGGTTCTTGACCTGTTATTTGAAAATATTAATCCTCGTTTATCATCCATGCACTGCATCTAGATTCTGTACTCATCATGCGTGTTTACCTGCAACGATATTGAAGTGAGTTAGACGGGGCCAGAAAACACTTTTAGCCAATTTTTCTTGAAGATGATTTCCATAGCCAAATAATGAGGAATCAGGTTCTCAATTGGGCTTTAAAAGCCCCAACTTCACTCTGTTTCTTTCAAAGTGTTCCCTAATTAATGCCTTGGTAAAGATGTCTGCAATTTGATCTTCTGTGCTACAGAACTTCATACATATCAACCTTTTCTCCACATTGTCCCTCAAAAAGTGATGCCTCACATCAATATGCTTGGTCCTTTTGTGTTGAACTGGATTCTTGGCTATGTTGAGTGCACTTGTGTTATCACATAGAAGGGGCACACTCTCAGTGAGTACCCCAAAGTCTTTCAGTTGCTGCTTGATCCACAAAAGTTCTGCATAATAGGATGCTGCAACTACATATTCTGCTTAAGCTGTTGAAAGAGCCACTGAGTTTTGCTTCCTTGTGCCCTAAGAGATGAGACATGAACCTAAGAAGTGAGCCATTCCAGAAGCGCTTTTCCTGTCCACAAGATAACCTGCATAGTTTGTATCAGCATATCCAATGAGATTAAAACTGTCACCTGAGGGATAATAAATGACCAGGTACTGTGTTCCTTTAAAATATCTCGGAATTCTTTTGGCTGCCTTTAAATGATTTTCCTTGGGATTTGATTGAAATCTTACACATATCCCCACACTGAAGACAATATCAGGTCTACTTGCAGTAAGATAGAGAAGAGACCCAATAATGCCTCTATACATGGTTTGATTCACAGGATACCCAACTTCATCCATGTCAAGTCGAGTGGCCGTAGCAATGGGAGTGTCTATCACCTTTGATGCTTCCATGCCAAACCTCTTCAAGAGCTCCCTGATGTATTTTTGCTGACAAATAAATGTACCCTTTGGGAACTGTTTTACTTGAAAACCCAAGAAGAAGTTCAGTTCCCTCACCATACTCATTTCAAACTCACTTCCCATGAGTTTTGCAAATTCTTCACATAGAGAATCAGCTGTTGCCCCAAAAATGATGTCATCAACATAGACCTGAACAATGAGCAGGTTCCTTCCCCGTTTCTTTAGGAATATGGTATTGTCAATTTTCCCTCTTTTAAAACCATCTTCCAGAGAAACTTTGACAGCCTTTCATACCAAGCTCGAGGAGCATGCTTCAGCCCATACAATGCTTTGTCCAGTTTAAAAATATATTCAGGGTGTTCATGACATTCAAACCCTGGAGGTCGCTTCATATAGACTTCTTCCTTAAGAAGTCCATTCAAAAATGAACTTTTGACATCCATTTGGAACAAGGTGAATTCCATATGAGATGCAAAAGCAATTAGAAGTCTAATAGCTTCCATGCGAGCGGTCGGAGCAAATGTTTCATCATAGTCAATCCCTTCCTCCTGATTGTAGCCGTAAACTACTAGCCTGGCCTTGTTTCTTGTGGTATTCCCATGTTCATCAAGCTTGTTCCTGAATACCCACCTGGTTCCTATAATGGTTCGATCTGAGGATCTGGGTACCAGGTGCCAAACATTGTTCGTTTCAATCTGATGTAACTCGTCTTGCATGGCTGTAATCCAATCTCCATCTTTCAAGGCTTCATTGATATTCTTGGGTTCTATTTGGGAGAGAAAGGCGGAGAATGCAAGTGAATTTATGGCTTTTAACCTGGTTTGTACTCCGAAATCTAGAGGGGTAATTATGTTGTCAAGAGGATGTGAGCTTTTATGTCTCCAGTTAGACGTTTGAGGTTCATTTAGAGAGAGTGTGGGTACATTTGACTGGTTTTCCTGAGTTATTCTCTCAGGTGCTAGTGGAGTACCCTGAGCTGCATCAACCACTCTTTCTTCAGCTTCAGTGGTTGTAATTGAAGTACCTGATTCCATTGAAAATGAGACAATATTGTCTTCACTCAGCTCTTTTACTTGACTCATCATATTTTGCCATTCCATTCGCCATGTCAATGACTTCACCAGGGAATAGTAAGAGTTCTCCATTTTGATCTTCTTCAGCATTCTTCTCACAGGATGGATAAGACTCGTCAAAAATAACATGAACACTTTTCTCAACACATTGAGTCCGCTTATTATATATCTTGTACGCTTTGCTTTGAGAAGAGTAACCCAGAAATATTCCTTCATCACTTTTGGCATCGAATTTACCCAGCCGATCCTTTCCATTATTGAGAACATAGCATTGGCACCCAAATGTTCTTAGGTGAGTAAGCTTGGGTTTTCTTCCATTCAGCAGCTCATATGGGGTTTTGTTTAGGAGGGATCTGATCATGCACCTATTCACCAAGTAGCAAGCAGTGTTGACAACTTTAGCCCAGAAGTTCCAGAGTTCTAGTCTTCCTTTCCACTACTCCATTTTGCTGAGGAGTTCTGGGAGCTAGAAAGTTGTGAGTGATGCCATTTTCATTGCAAAACTCATCAAATTTGGCATCGTCAAATTTTGTTCCATGATTTGACCTAATGCATGCGACTCTAGACTCCATCTTCACCTGAATTTTCTTCACAAAGGCCACAAACACCTCAAAGGTTTCATCTTTAGTTCTAAGAAACAGAGTCCATGTGAATCTGGAGTAATCATCCACTATCACAAAAATGTATCTCTTTCCTCCTCTGCTTTGCACTCTCATAGGACCACATAGGTCCATATGCAAAAGATCTAGTGGTTTTGAGGTGCTCACATCCCTTTTAGACTTAAATGAGGACTTCACATATTTTCCTCTAGCACAGGCATCATAGATTTGTTCCACCTTGAACTTTGACATGGGCAGACCATGGACAAGGTCCTTCTGAATTAGTTTGTTCAGAAGAGAAAAGCTTGCGTGCCCCAGTCTTCTGTGCCACAGTTCAACATCATCATCAACGGCTTTCAAACAACTCTGATCACCACTTTGTAAGGACTCGAAATCAGCAACATAGATGTTCTTGTATCTTTTGGCCACAAGTAGCACTTCACCAGTTACCAGATCAGTAACTGTACATATCTTGGACAAGAATTCCACCTTTTTTCCTTTATCACAGATCTGAGAGACACTCAAGAGACTGTACTTAAGGCCATTGACATAGTACACATTTTTAATAGAATGAGTGATTGATTTCCCGACTTTTCAAACTCCAAGAATGTACCCCTTTTTCCCATTTCCAAAGGATACACTCCCTCCTTGCAGGGATTTTAGTGAAAGAAAGTCCATGGTGTTCCCAGTCATGTGCTTTGAACACCCACTATCCATGAACCATTGTTGACCTCTTCCTTTCACTGTTCCGTGCACAAGAAGATCAAGAGTTAGTTTTAGGAACCCAAGAAAGTTTTGGTCCCTTGTAATAGGAAAGAGGATGAATAAGAGCTCTCTTAGTCCATGCAGGTAATGTGCGCTTTTTGTGAGTGGAACCTGGTTCCTCTTTTGTAGTCATTTTTTCAGCAAATACTTTGTTTTTCTGAACAGATTGAACCCTGGCCTGGCAGTTTTCTTTGAAGTGCCAATTGTTCCCACAGTGGGTACAAAGCCAGTTATCAAAAACAATGACGCATTTGCTGTGAGGGTTGTAAGGAATTTTCTCCCTTTGGAACCCTATTCCCTACCTGTTTCCACCATTATTAGTGTACATGGCAGTGATAGTTTCTGAGGACCATGTCCACTTTAGGAACTTTTCAAGATCATTTTTTACTCTTTCCAGATCAGTTTGGAGGTGCTTGTTTTTCTCAGTTTCAACACACATCCTAGTTCTCACCGATTTCAACTCATCTTCAAGCCTAATGTGTTCATCACTGGCTATCTCTTTCCCTTTTCCAGAATTTCCAGCTTTTGAAATAGTCTCTAGTGTCTCTATTGTTTCCCTTAGGTCTGCAATTACTGCCAAGTGATCATTTCTTTCTTCTTTGAAGTTTTCAATGGTTTCCTTATGGTCAATACTACAGCACTAAGTCATCTCTAGTTTGTTCAGCTTCTCCTAGTTCTAAAATCAAGGAATCCCTATCCTCCACAAGACTATGATAGGCATCAATCAACACACTAGCTAAATACATGAGTTTCTTAGGAGAGTAGGATTTCAGATTTCTTTGAACATCCCTGAAATTTACCTCCTTGTTGTCATCGTCTTCATCATCATCTGATTTGGCCATCAAAGCAAAGGTTGAGTCACATTCATTTTCCTCGCCTTCAACTGCCATCATGGAGCTATCACCAGCATCAGTTTCATCTTCAGACTCACCATAGGAATTTCCCCATGCTGCAAGAGCCTATTTCATCACATTGTCAGCAGATCTTTTTTTTTGAAGTCCTTAAAAGGAACCAGGTTCCTTTTAGCTGTTTTTTCAGGGTTGTTCTTAGATAATTCTTACTTCAAGAGAGGACAGTGTTTGGTGAAGTGTCCAGGCTTTCCATACTTATGACAGAGATCATAATTTTTTGGTTTGCTAGAGATGCCCATTTTTAGCATTTCTCTATTTCTTCTGACCATCTTCTGAAATCTTTTGGTCAAGTACGCCATGTCATTGTATTCCTCACTTGAGTCATTGCTATCAACTTTGAGTACCAGGTTCTTTTCTTTGTTTGCTTCTCTTCTTTCACTGTCTATCTTCCTTTTCATCTCGTAGGTCTTCAGATTTCCAATAGCTCTTCTGTGGTCAGCTCCTGTAAGTCCTTTGATTCAGTGATAGCATTCACCTTGCTTTCCCAAGGACTAGGCAAAATACTGAGGATTTTCCTCACTAGCTTGTTTCTAGGAATGGTTTTGCCGAGTGAGTGTAACTCATTTATGATGGAAGTGAATCTTGTGTGAATATCTTGAATAGATTCATCATCCTTCATTCTAAAAGAGTTCATACTCGATAGTGAATATATCGATCTTAGACTATTTTACTTGGATGGTTCCCTCATGAGATATTTGCAAAGCTTCCCATATCTCCTTAGCAGTGTCACAAACGGAGATTCTACTGTATTCTTTAGGTCCTATTCCACATACCATAATCTTCTTGGCACAAAAATTCTTCTCCATAACTTTCCTATCTGCGTCAGTGTATTCTTTACTGGTTTTTGACATTGAAAATGGAAGTTCTTCCAATGCCTTTGTTGGAACATAAGGACCATCACATATGATATCCCACAACTCAGAATCCTCAGCCATGATAAAATCATGCATTCTTGTTTTCCACCACCTATAGTATTGTCCATTGAATCTGGGTGGTCGGTATGTAGATTGAACTTCTTCAAAATTTGGTGGAGCAGCCATAAGGATCCTTCCTAAGTGTTAGCCTGATAGGAGGAACCCACTCTGATACCAATTGTTAGTTTGTATGAGTCCATCAACATAGAGTACCTGGTCCTCTATGAGGTTATGCTGAGAACACTAGTAAAACTGTAAGTAAGTGAGACACATGATATTTACGTGGAAAAATCCCAACTCAAGGGGACAAAAATCACAACCTACAACTGTAGGCTTTCAACTTCACTAACTTGTAAATACCTATTACAAGCCACTTTGTAATAACTCTATTACAAAGGATTCAATTCAACTAACTTGTGGCACTCTCACCACAAGCCACTTTGTGACCCTCTAGTTACAAAGACTTTGACTAACTTGTGATACTCTCATCACAAGCTACTTTGTCACTCTCTAGTGACAAAGACTTTAACTTATGACTAAACCTAGTCACAACATAAACTCAGAGAGTTTACAGGTTTTACCAGAGGATTCCTAATCAACGCTTCTGACTAAGCAGTTTAGGAGATACAAAAAGAACAATCACAAAGTTGCAACTCAACTAAGGACAACAACATACTAACTTTAGGAACTAGTCCGTAGTAGCGTTTAACTTTGTTCTTCAAGCTCGTGAGGATTGATTTCTCTGTTTTTGCAAAAGGCTTGAATGAGAAATAGAAATGTTCAAGTGATGTTTTGATATAAACTCATTATTGATACACCTTGATTACATCACTTGAAATGATGTAAGCACTTTAGTTGGTCAACGAATAAGTGGGCACTGGAAACAGTGCAGTGCAGGAAGAAACAGTGTAGGCGGTCACGTCGCTTCCAGCTATGTCCAATTGACTTTGTACTGCTATGAGGGAACCACAAGGGTATCGAGTCCTTGTTTGGTTTCCTATCTCCTGAAGCTATAGCAGTTCACATTTTGCCAGAATCCGTTAATCTTGCAGTTTAGTCCAAATGTGTCAGGTTCCCTATCTGGTTCTTAATAATAAGTTTGTTAGATCATCAAAACATAAGGCAAAGACATTTAAAACCTATCAATAACAGAATGTCAGCTGGCAAAGAATAGTTGAAGAGGCACGAACCTTAACAGACGCGGGTGAAGACTCAAGAAAACAAGATGGAACAGTTATTCAGACTTCTTGATAATTTGAAGAGACATCGGAGGAGTGAACCTAGATAGCAAAAAGTATAGATACGTATTATCTATGATTAATGAGCATCAATGATGGAAAATATTATAGAATCTTCACGAAACAGTTACGATTGCCAATTATAACATTTCATTAATGCCATTAAATGCTTATAATGGCTCTGTTATGAGAGGAAAGAAACGTTAATAGCTATAAAAGGAGAGAAATAACATTTGTAAAGACACAAAATATTATTGGAATACACTGATTTACTTTGCTTTCTTTTACTTATTCAGCTATCATTTAAGTCAATTTTTCTTATTTGTTTCATATTTGATTATCAGTAACCCGAGTTCTTCTAAAATCGAGCTTTGACCGAAATTCCTATTTTCTGGTTAACCGGGAAGAAATAGAAATCAAAATTTTCATAAGGAAAATCTGAGGGAGAGTTCATGTATTTATAGCCAAAACGTTGCGTAATACCGAAGAGTTGCAACTCTTCATGTAAGGCTGCAACTCAAAATGGTTAAACGGCCATTTACGCAAACCCCCAAATTCAAATTATAATGTGAAAAAAATTAGATTACCATTACCAAATACAAATCTGAGCCGAGCAACGACGGTGCGGGGCTTTCCTTCTTATCAACTCTTTAAGAGCTAGAAGAAGTGCATATATATATATACCCATGAAAACTCTTTTCCTCCTTTAATATGGGATAATGATCCTTTGTCAAAGAGGGAAATTCAAAAAATTTATTTTCCCTCCATTTTCTATTCACTCTATTTTTAAGCTCTAACAAGCTTAAAACCCAATAGAGGTATGCCTAAGAAGTAATGGGAAGAGGTGATTAGGCAGGATATGGCACAACTCTAACTTAGCAAGGACATGACCCTTGATAGAAAGGTGTAAAGGGTGAGAATTATGGTAGAAGACTAGTAGGTAGTCGATCGTTTCTCTTTGCCATACTAGAAGCTTTAATATTATTCAAGTATTTTCTTACCTTAGATTTCTCTTACTATATGTTGTTTCTTTTGCTTCTGTTATCTTATTATCTTACTGTTGATACTGCTTCTCTTGCATGGCTTTCCGCTACTGTATTTCTTTTTGTAACTGCCATGACTGTGCTTTGCTTAAGTTGATCGAGGGTCTATCGAGAACAACCTCTCTGCCTTCACAAGGTAGGAGTAAGGCTGCATACACACTACCCTTCTCAGATTCACTTGCGGGATTATACTGGATCTTTTATTTTGGTGGTGTATATAGCCACTGTCATCAATTGGACCTTTCCTTTCTTTGTTACTAGTAGATATTAATTTCTTCTTTTACAAATCATGGTAGTATGCATCTCAATTTCATCCTTAGAAGATTATAGAAAGATGACCGGCATTTCAATAATTCAGTTTGCTTTCCTTCAACGTAACTCTACATAAACGATAAATCAGCCAAAAGAAACAGAAAATAAGAAAAAGAAAAGAAAAAAAAAGCAAGGAGGTCAACATCTCTTGCTTTTGATTCAACAGTGACTGGGTTAATAAATATTCTCTTCGTTTATTTTTATTTGTCCTCTATTTGCTTTGCACACCCCTTAAAAAATAATAAATAAAATGTATAATTTATTGTGATACCCATAGTAATTGGTGTATAGTCTTAATAGATTTGAAAAATGATTTGAAGTGGGTAATTAATACTAAGGGCAAAATATGAAAAAAAATTTATTTTTCTCTTGATATGCGAAAAGACAAATAAAAAGAGAATTTATTTTTAGAATACTTGACAACTAAAAGTGAACGGAGGAAGTATTAGGTTTTGTAATTCCTTGTTTGGCTTTATGGCAAAATTTCACAAGAGCTAAGCACCATCATTGACATTTGCAAACAATGTCTTGTTAGTGAAATGGCATTCTGTCTTTTGCTATCCTAACACATGTTCTAATCTGGATTAGTTGCTTAATAATCATATTTTGTTATGAAACAATAAAGAAGAATATTTCAAAGAAAGAGAGAGAATTCTTAATTTGGATGAATTACAATGGTTTCCTTTATTTATAGGAAAAAAGTGACTTAGCCACTAAGTAACAAACCGTAAAATCTCTCTAAAATATAGACATTCACCTTAAATACAATTCTATTTATGACACTCTCCTTGAATGTCTACTCAATAGATAATGTGCCTAGTTAAAACCTTAACTAAAATAAAACCCAGTGAAAAAAAATTCTAGAGAAGGAAAAAGAGTACACATGTTTAGAAATACACCTTTTGGTTGTCTCGTTAAAAACCTTGCAAGAAAAATTCAGTGGGACAAAACCTTGTAAGAGAAAAAGAGCACAACGTGTGTTAACTCCCCCTGATGAGAGCATCAATTCACATCCTTGAGCCTTCACATTCCAATCTTGTGCACCATCTTCAAAAGATCGTTGGTAGAGATTTTATAAACAAATCAGTCATACTAACTTGAATAAATATGTTGAACCTTTAAATTATCATTCTTGATAGATATGTAATGTCTTCATATACTATCGTGGAATAGCCTTTTCAATATCTCTATAGATGTATTCTTGCTATCACATTATCATGCTTATAGTTATAGCAAGATACATATGTGCACAAATCACACATAGGATGTGGTACTTCAGGACCAAGAATTGTAAATGCTTTAAGTGATTAAAACTCTTCAGGGATTGTCAAATAAGCCATATAAATAAACTTTCGATGCATATCAAATTTTCAGGTCTTGATAGACATATAAGATAGATAAAAGTGATTGCATACACTGTTGACTTTATACCTTCAAGTATTTGAACTGCAGGTCCAAAACTACATGTCTTTCATATAAAACCAATTCTACTTGAATTGTTTCTTCATACTTAAGATCCTCATATCTATTTAACTTTATCATATATGTATTCGACAAACATTTTATATTGGTTCCAATATTTTTTCATAAAGACATGACATATAGATCTCTTCATTCATATTTTCAAGTACCTAAACCTCTTCTGAGATTTTATGAAGTATTATGTCATGTGATATTCTAGATCACTTGCCTCCTTATGATCATTTTCTCATCTTCTTTATCAAGAATTTTATATGAAACTAATTTGTCTATACACTTTAAGCGTACCATAGACTTTGTCCTTCTAGAACTTATTCTAATAGGAGCATATGTAGTGAGAATATTGTTACTTCCTTTGGGTCAGAAAATGTGTTTGACATGCTTTGCAATATATTGCAGATAAATTATTTATGAACTTCAAGTTCATATTATCTTATTCGAAGATCTAGATATACAAATGATAATTCATGCCATGTAACTTTTTCTCAATTGTTTATCTTGTGTCCCCTAGAAGGGGAGCTTTAGCGTAACTGGTAAAGCTGTTGCCATGTGACTAGGAGGTCACGGATTCAAGCCATGGAAACAACCTCTTGCAGAAATACAAGGTAAGGCTGCGTACTATAGACCCTTGTGGTCTGGTCCTTCCTCGGGCCCCGCGCATAGCGGGAGCTTAGTGCACCGGGCTGCCTTCTTTTTTTTAATCTTATCTCCCTCTCATGTTAGAAAAACTAACTTGCTTCCTCAACTTTGAAAATCCACCTTTGTGCGTTATGGTGTTAATAAAAAAAATACAACACACATCAATAATAATAAGATGAAATTATTTAGTTCATGCCCCTGAACCACTTGTAAGGAGAAAAATGTAATATACTTTCGTATATAACGTATATCAAATAGATATAGATAACTTTGTTCTCATAGGTTTAGCTATTAAGTAGAGACGCTCAAT